GAGCAAAAGTTTTGGTCACATCTTTGAGAAGTAGATGTATTCTTTTGTCACAGACTGATGTGTGTTCAATAGATAGATCCTTAAATCCTTAACATAAGTTGTGTTAAAGATTTGGGGAATTTAGTTTGTTGTTCTCCAATCTTTGATATCTTCTTTCCACTCTATATTCCCATCACATTTGTCTTTGTCAAAATTTTGTTCTTTTTTACGCAAGTGATTCTTCCATTCCTTAAGAGCAGTAGTATCACCGGTGTATGATACCATGTGGAGACATTAACTATCTTTTGAAGAAATTGGGATATTTTGAGTTTGCACCCCATTTTATTGTCTAAATTAGACTTTGCACCCCGTTTTTGAAATCTTTAGTATTTGCACCCCAACCCCGTATGAAAAGACTAAAATGCCCTTCCACTAACAATTTTGTTGGTCTTTAACATATTCCTGATTGAGGGACATTTTTGTCTTTTCACAAGGGGTTGGGGTGCAAATACTAATGATTTCAAAAACGGGGTGCAAAGTCTAATTTGGCCAATAAAATGGGTGCAAACTCAAATTATCCCTTTGACATTCATAAGTACCAATTGATACAACTAAGGTTGATTGATACCAATTGATAATTAAGGAAATCATCAGATTTAAGTTGTTCGAAGATCATGTTTGCTCTGCTAGCTTTCTCCTTTTTGAATGAAAATATATTTCACTGGAAGTGAATCTTTTGTGAACCTCTTGATCCCGGTATTGAATAAGCAGGTTATGACCATTGGTAAAAGTTCGTCTTCCTTCATAAAGTTTATTTCTTAAATCTCATGGAAAAATTCACATAAATAATCCGAACTATTAAGAGTCTTCTACTATTAATCTCAAATATGCGTAATTCTAGAATAATCCGAAATTTATAGACAGTCTTCCCTAGTTGATCCAGGTCACCTGCAACTTATACAACAGGTAAAAGTTTTTAAAAGAAAAACGAAAAAGGTTGGGCACTGGGTTGTTCATCTTCGTCTACCCTAATTACAGGTAGCTTGTTGCTTCCTTCGTTCAAGATATGTTTTGCTTTATGTTTTCTTTTCTTTCCTCCTCCACGCATATATAAATCTCCTTCTCACCTCAATTTCATTCTCAAATATGCTCCTAGAATTCGTACTTCATTCTTTCAATTTCATAATTGAAATATTTGATTTGGTCAATCCAAACTCTAATATATACGACACAATTCATCATAGAAGATGGAGACCAGTCGACTAGGCCAATTAATATAAACAGAATTACAGAAGTATGGTAGCGATGAACAACTGGGAAGGACGGAGGATCAATATTTTTTGTAAGGAGGCTCGACACTGGCGATGAAGGGAGGTTGGGATAGACGGACGATGGTTGATTATCCGACCTAGGTGGCGAGACTGGAGGCACTGGAACAGGGACAGACCGATGTCCGTAGCACACCCGTATGGCCAAAGCAATGAAAATGAAGATGAACAAAAAATTAAAAAAAAAAATGAAAAGGAATGAAATGTAAAAGGAGAGGGGGAAAGAAAACCAATTAAAACAGCCCACGTGTCCGAGTCACCTGCTCTATCAGTCTATTGGGACATACAGGTCACCGGTGCATTATAAGAAGAGGCTCGTTATAGTTCAGATTATTTTAGAATTAAGCATATTTGGGATTATTATTAGAAGACCCGTAATAGTTGGGATTATTTATGTGAATTTTTCCAAATCTCATCTATATCAATGTCTTCACCCTTATGATCCATGAAAGCGCACTTGTTGGCCTATCAATTATCCTAGGGCATTAATTATCTCTTCTCAAAACCTCATTTCCAGTTAATCTAGGATGATGGATTGAGTGCTCTTGCTTCCCGTTTATATCAGTTGAGTTCCTTCTTAACATACGATCAAATTCTAAAAACTGACAATTACAATCAAACCATGAACTTTCATTTCCTTTCTTAGTGTGAATGTTTTTGATATATCCATGAAAATTGGACATTCTTAATTTGAAAATACTCGTATGCTAATTTTTTGTCTTGGTTATTTTTTTGTACTTCTTTATTCTACATGTCCTATCGGCTATACCGTGTCATTCCTATTTATTTTTCCACATAAACCAAATATCGTTTGTGTGAGGACTTGCAATAAGTTAGTTTGTGTGAGGACTTGCAATAAGTTATTGTATGTGTGAATAAAAATAATTTCCCTTATAATTTCAACATATTAGTTAAATAAATACTACGTAATTATTGAGGTAAAGTTTTGTCACTTTTATTTAGTATGTAATACGGCTACTAATATATATCATGTACTTCCTATGTTCTTAAATAAATGCAACAGTCCACTTTTCATATTTGACGATGCATAAGTTTGACTATATATATATATATATAATTAAAAAATCAATTTTTAAAAATTTACAATGAGACAAATGTAACATTATTTTTAAAAATAATAATTTGTCAATACAGTAATAAATAAAAGGTAGTCAAAGTAGAGCATATAATATTGGAATTTTCAATATGTTGCGCTTATCTAAGAGCGGCTGAAGTATTTAATTTTAATTGACTTCCTTTATTATAAGGAAGCTATAACTTCTACATATATATAACTATAAAGGCTTCAACCATAAACAATACATTAAACTTTATTTTTGTATGATGTTTCCCATAAATGCTCATAAATGTGACGACTTGATCATTCCGTCATTGTTCGATGGGTTGAGGACTTTGTCATAAAGATTGGTCAATTCTTAATTAACTTTCTCTTTAATTACAATAATGACCATATTAATGCCTAAAAGCGTCCTAACGGGTTAAATATTTGGTCCAACATATGGTATCAAATTAAGTCTCGATCGATTGAAGAATCTTGATCGCTAGCCATGCCTCCATCAATCTCTACGAACGTAACTCTTCTCACCTCACCTCTCTAAAAGCTTCACCTCATATCCTTGTTAAACTCTCTAAAGATAGGTGTAATTACTCCGGCCTCTTGAAATCATAAATAACTAATTGAAGATTGCCTTCTTCACTATCACTACTAAAAAGATATGAAAATAGATGATTGCATATTTTATCGTGGGTAATAATTGCATATTTTGTAACAAATTCGAGAGAGCCCGTGAAAAAGTGCTGCGACTTCAACTATGAGTAGCTAAAGTCTTGGGTATATTTTGCTAGTCTAACTTGGAAAAAAATTGAGAGAAATATTAATTATTTTGGTGTAAATATTTATTCTTTAGGAGTCATAATTTTGAAAAGGGTACAAACTAAAAATTGGATGTAAAACTTGAGTAAAATGCGATTCTCCCATTACATATACCTCAATGAAGATGAAGAAATATTGTGTCTAGAGATGGACACAATATAATGTTATTAAAATTATTATGAGAATATTGTCATAATAGTTTAAATTAGAGTTTTTTGCCACTTTTGATCCCCAATTATTGTGTCAGTAACACTTTTGATACTCGATTTTTTATTTTTCCATTTTTAGTCATCGACTATACTGCTAGAAACACTTTTAATTCTTGACATCAAAGATTACCACATAAGTCCCCGAGTATTATCAAATTGACACTTTTAATCTTTTCACTATGATTTTGACACAGTAAGTGGAGAATTAAAAACTTCACTATCATAATAATTGAAGGACCAAAAATGTCACTTTTATGACAGTTGAAGGATTAAGAGGCCGTTTGGTAACCCTGAAATTGGTTGAATCGACTGATTCCGCTGAAATTTTTGAAGTTTTGGCTAAAGTTGCTGGATTGGCTGATTCTGATGATTTATGAAAAAAATATTTAAACTATTTTTTATTAATAAAATAAATAAATAAAAATATGATAAAATAGCATAAATGATCCTCTACAGTGATTTCAGCCAGAAAAATAATTTCAATCTTATTTTTGCTTATTATTACATAACTCAGCGCGTGAAATTAAAAGTTACGTGTTTGGTGAAAAAGTTGACTGATAAGTCTGATAAGCCGAAAAACAGGATCACCAAACGTGCTCTAAATATGAAATTTTTTAAAGATGAGTACCAAAAGTGTCTCTAACATAATAGTGAGGACTAAAAAGGGAAAAATCAAAGTCGAGTAATAAATGTGTTAGTGAAATAATAGTCGGAAGATTAAAAGTGACGAGAACTCTTTAAATTACTATTAGTATCACTAAAATATAAGAAGTAAAAAAAATCTCTATATTTATTTTAATTATATATAATTGTCATATTTCACAAATATTACATGTATGGGCAGCACTAAGTAGGGCAGAGCACGGGTCGGGTTCAAAAATGGTAAACCCGATCGGGTATCAGATTGATAATTTCAAACCCTACCTAATCAAAAAAAATTTCGGGTTTTTCGGGTTGAAGAAGTTCGGGTTTCGGTCAGGTTGGTTCGGTTTTCGGGTCCATTCGGATTTTAATTTATTATTGTTGAAATTGTGATAAATAAAATGGTACTCCGTAATTGGTAAAAATATCATTCAAAGTTATACTAGTATAACATTCAAAGTAATAGTTGTATAAATATGGTAATAACATATTTGAACATGTAAAATAATAATATACGGTGATTGACATATTTGATATTGTGATAAATAAAATGATAATTGGTCAAAATATCATTCAAAATCATAACAATACAACATTCAAAGTTATAGTTTTACAAATACGACAATTGAAATGTTTGAATATGCATAATATATATGATAATTGACATACAATAATTGAGATATTTGAACATGCATAATAATTCAAAGTAGTATATATACTACCCTAGTTCAAGTTTTCGGGCGGGTCGGGTAGCATAATTGGTAACCCTACCCGCTACCCGCTTAACTCTCGGGTTGCAAAAATCGGATCGGATTTGGATCATTCGGATCGGGTTATCCGACCCAAAAAATAAAATTGGATATATCCGATCGGGTCTATCGGGTAGGGTCGGGTTTGCTCTCCCCTGGCATTTAGGCCCATTTAGGCCCAAATATTGCTTCAAAATGTCAAATTTGTGAGCCAGCGAAGCCTTAAACCCCGATTTGTACGATTTGACCACCCAGAATTTTTTACGCACTCTCGCTCATCTTCATTTCCTCGCAATGGAGTCCGCATTTCTTACCTCAGCAAAACCCTTCACCTTTCACCCCACTAAAACCCCTTCCCTATCCAGCTCTCGCAGATCTGTTGGTAACGTTTTGAATTGCTTAAATTTATTCAGTGATGTTTCCCTTACTTGTGCATTATTATCATCACGAAGAAATTGATTTCAATATTATGTTTTGGTTGTGATTTGTGAATGAACAGGTTTGAGGAGAAATACTCTTAGAGTTATTTCCATCTCCAATCAATGGGAACCCTCAAAGGTTTGCCTTTGACATCATCTCTTCCAAAATTTTCTTGAATTCTATTTGTTTGTTTTCGTGTATTTTATGCCTTAATGGTTTATATCTACTGAAGGGGTTGTGGTGCGAACTCAAGTGTAATTTGATATATGTGCTTACAGGTTGTCCCGCAAGCTGATAGAGTCTTGATAAGGTTAGAAGCTTTGCCCGAGGTAATCTAAAAAATCCTTTTTATGTGGTTTAATTATATCAATTTTGTCGTTGTTTATTACGAATTTGATACTAGGTTTTACAGAATGACACATTGAGCACCCTCGGTGGTGCCCTCTATTTTGTAGATTTTATTTATTTATATACGAAGTTTAAAACTCCTCTGCCCTAAATTAATCTTTGTGTTCACTTTTTTTGCGGTCAAGTGAACTATATAGTTTCTAAATATATATATTTTAATTAATTGTAGATTTATAGTAATTTAAATAATATCATGGAGAAATTAACTTAATCATCATCAAACATCATGAAGCATGGAGGGAGTAATAAAGAACAAGATAAAAAATAAGGACCTTTTTTATAATGTGCAACAGTTGAATGAGGCTCTTTCAGTCTTTCTCTGTTTTTTTATTTTACTTTTACCACACGTTTAATTTTACTCCATTTTTTAAACTGATAGAGTTTATAAAGAATTAAAGAGACTATATGTGTGTTGTAAGAGTGTGTGTGAACTTCCTTTTTACTCATTCACTCTTCATATTCAGGATATTTCACATTTTCACATTGTGAAGAGTCCTGTAGGCTATGTTTGGAGGGAGTTTTGATTGGAAGCTTTGAAGGGCTTAGTCCATATATTGATAAATAGAATTGTGCACCAGTACAATTATATATTTTTTACATAGAAAGTAAATGTTTTTTTTTTCAAATTGGGGTAGTTTGGGGAACAGAATGGCCCTCCCTAGCCCCTCCCATGGTATTATGCATGTTTACCTTTGAAATTGTCAACAGTTTATGTCATTGGACTGCTCATTCTTTAGTGGAGACTGAAACGTACCATTTACCGTTTTGATGCACATGAGTAATTCGTAGACTTCCTTTGTTGTGCAGAAATCTGCAGGAGGTGTTTTGCTGCCTAAATCTGCTGTAAAATTTGAGAGGTACCTTATGGGAGAGGTGAGTGGTAAACTTCAATTCACTTTTCTTTTTTCTTTTTTCTTTTTTCATAAAAAAGTAGCATAGATTTTCATTTGACTTTGAGGTGAATAATATTCTTTGGTGTAGGTTCTCTCAGTTGGAACTGAGGTTGGTGAAGTTGTTGAGGCCGGGAAGAAGGTATGTCTTATGATTCTTTGAAACATTTACCTTTTTGACTTTGTTTCGAACTTGCAAAATGACAGGGAATTGAAAGAAACTGCCAAGGAAAATAGCTTTTGAATGTTTCATTTTCCATGGCAGATGCGAAGATAACTCAAATTTGATCTACAAATGTAAGACTGTGCATATGTTTAGATTCATGTGCCTCTCCATATAATTGAGGCATAAGAAAATAAAACGCGCTTATAAAATATCTAAAAATGATTTATTGAGTTAGATCATTTCTAGCTTCCCTTAAATTCTTTCCTTCGAAATGTCCTCTCTATTTTCATCCACATTTTGTCTCACTAGCATTTTACTGGTTCTAACATCCCCCAAGTATAAAGGACTAGAATTGGTATTACTACGGCATTAGATTGTTCCAATGTAATGAAGCTTTGAATTTATATGTATCTTTTATCTGATGGGAATACTTGTTATTTTGCACAGGTTCTTTTCTCTGATGTGAGTGCCTATGAGGTATAGATTTTTTAAAAACTAAACCTATTTGCCATATTAGCAAATTGTGCAATAATAATAATACTTCCTCCGTCCTATTCGACTTTGCCAACTTTCCCTTTTTGGTTGTCCCAAAAAACATTGCCACTTTCCCATTAAAGCAACTAATTTGTGGTTCTGCACATTTGTCTTCCTCTGCACAAATCTCAACCAAACAGTTTTTAATATTCTTATTTCTCACCTACTTTGCACTTGGCAAAGTCCACCGGGACGGAGGTAGTAATATAAATGGATAAGAAACACTTATGGTTGTGCCGATAATTGTCTGTTAGGTGAACTTGGGAACGGATGAGAAACATGTGTTCTGCAAAGCGGGTGACTTGTTGGCAGTGGTGGAATAGATGGAATTTTCGCTCTCAGAACTGTTCAAACAAACAAATGTGGTTGGTTTGCCTCTCAAGTTGTACTTGAGCCCCTCTCCCATATTAAACTTCATGTAGTTTTTTGGCCTTGCCTACTTTGACATGAAGATTCAAAGATGCTAGATTTTTAATCTAATATGCATTTCTGGTCTCATTTTGATGGGGTGGATCTAGAATAGTGCTTTTTAGCAATTTAATGTGGGTAAATAACCTTGTACTATCGTTTTTATGTGTAGCTCATTTATGGATGGATCTAGCTGGTTATTGTATCATCTCTTGTACGGTTTTTAGCTTACTTTTTTTAGGGGAACCGGCCAGCCACACCATCCCTAAATGAGCATCCTGCACTCGAAAATCAGCGTGTCAAAATGGTTACTTAGGTTACATCCCTAAATGCTTATCCTGCCTATCTAGAGCTAGAGGAACTGGAACCAGTTTGGAATGGGTCAGTATATGGAATCCAGTCCAGTCTGAGCTAAACCTAAGCGTATTGCTTCTTCTGTTAACAAAAAATGCTAAACATAAAATCTTTAAAATGAAACTTATCTCTACTATTATATCAAAATGTAATTGCCAGAACTTAATCAACCAAATCCTTAATTACTCAGAATCAATTTAACTTTGTCGGTCAACTTTCTGAAATTCGATGGGATCATGGGATGGGTATTATTTACAGTGAAATTCGAAAACAACGGCGTAGCATACAATGTGATCTTTCCGTTGGAAAGATCACATCGAGTACTAAAACATTTAGGACACGTTTACTCCACATGTTACTAAGCAGTGTTTATTAGGATTGTGTTAATAAGTGACGCTTAAACTAAGTAGTGCTATAAGCTATTGCTTACTTTACAGGATTTAAAACACCGTTTAACATTAAAATGTCCAGAATAATCCTGTACATAGATAGACACAAACATCATGTATAAACAATTATATATAATATGTGGGGGCCTACCCCTCCCCTACCACATGTGCGTGTACCCATACCCCCACCCTCTACCCATACACATTTTCCCCTACCCCACCCCTACCCGTCCTCGTACCCCTTACACCTACCCAATGGTGTAGGGTGGGTAGTAGGGCGGGGGTGGGGGAACAGGGTTAGGGTTTGGGGTAGGGCAAAGAGTTGGGGGTCGGATCGGGGGGCACGAGGGGGTTTGGGGGTGGGGGTAGGGGTGACGAGGGACGAGTAGGGGTAGGGTCGGGGCAAGAGTAAGGGGTATGAGTACGGGTAGGGGTTGGGGCGGGTGGGGGGTAAGGGTAAGTGTACATGTAGGGGAACGGTTGGAGGTAAGGGGTATGGAGACAGGTAGGGGAGGAGTAGGGAGTACGTGTAGTGGTGGACCCGGTCCGGTCCAACCGGCCCAGAAACCGGCCCGACCCGCTACTGTGCGGGACCGGCTTGGCCCGGGAAACCGTTTCCGGTTTCGGGCCTAGGCCCGGCCCGAGGGGGTAACCGGGGGCGGTTCTGATGCCTTAAAAAGGCGAACCGGCCGGTTCGGGCCTATTTTTTGGGTTTGGACTGGGTTTAGGTGGGCTGGGTTGGGTGTTTATGAGGGGTTTGGGGGGTAGGGGTTGAAATAAATAAGAAACAAAAAAACAATGAACCGGGAACCAGACCGGCCCGGGACCGGCCCAGAATCGGTAGACTCCCGAGCCGGTTTCGGGCCTTACCCAAAATGTTCTAGGCCCGGCCGGGCCTAGGCCGGAACCGGACCGGGCCCGGTCCACCACTAAGCACGTGAGTAAGCGACCGTATTTGATTTGATTATATCGTATTCTATTTATTTCGTTTTAAGCGTTTCAAAGATCATATGAAGTTTTAGAACTCTTAATTTTGACTTCAGTATCAAAGTATTAGGGTCGGGTAACATTTACACCAAAATTCAAAAACAAGACTCTGTTTACTCTTAATTGACTCTATCGCTCTATGCAATTCAAATATTCTATATGTACACAAAATTGTAGAAGTATTTGATTAATCATATTTTGCTTTACTTTGTCCTGTTGTAAGTCTTATGTGATTGGATGGATCATAGGTTTTTTTTTTAAAATAATGGGAGCGGCTTTTATGTTAATATCACAAACATACAAAACAATCTCCAGATAGTTACAACTAGGGGTGGGCACGGTCCGGATCGGTCCGGGTTCACCTTAAATTTTCAGGAACCTACGGTTCCTTTGAGCGGGTAGGGGCGGGGCGGTAGGCGTGGACTCGTGCTGGTTTGGGCCCGGGCCGGCGGTTCAGGAATGGGGGGCCCAGAACCGGCTCGAGTACTCCCCAGGTCGGGTCGGGCCGGGCCGGGCCTCGGGCCTTAGTTATTATTTTTTTCCTTTTCCTAGTTAACCCCTAACCCCCCCCCCCCCCCCCCCCCCCTCACCCCAAATCACCCCAAATCACCCCAAATGGCCCAAAATACCCTGCCCAACCCGAAAACCAAAAAAAATTGAAAAAAAATTAAAATAAACCGGAACCGGGCCTGAACCGGCCGGGCTGGTTCGTGATTTAGGGGGCCCGAGCCCGGACCGCAACCCCAGAGGGTCGGGCCTACCCGGACCGGTCACTGACTCACTGACCGGGCCACCGGGCCAGGCCGGGCCGGAACAGTGCCGGTTCGGGCCGGTTCCGGGTCGGGCCACCCGGCCCGAGTCCACCCCTACGGGGCGGGTACATCAATTGCTATCGTAGGAACCGGACCTAACCCGCCCCATTGGAAACGGGTAATTCGGTTTGGGGTTTTCGGGTCTTCATCTCTATATTTTCCTTGAGTTATTTTAATTCTAGAATTTGACAAGTCCCTTCTAAAAACGCAACGAGTCGCACAGAACATGTTAAATCAAACCTTAGTACATACTCCGTATTTATTATTAATGTAACCGTTTTTGCACATTAGTCCTACTCCGTATTACAAATATCTTGGAAAACATCATAATATTACATTCTCTAATTGAAACAAGAGAAAATTAACACATGTATGATTAGAAGAGATACAATTTCCCAATGTATGACTTAATGACATGCCATCTTACAAATGTAACTGCTATATTAAAGCATGTCGTATGCCTCTACACCCATTACTAGTCATATAATGGTAAATAAACTTCTTAAGTCATATTCTGGGAAAGTGGACATGTTTTAGTAATATATTGGTATATTTCCCAACAAACAAATATCTAGATTTCAAAAAACGATACATATCTATAACATAGTATGCAAAAGTTCAGTGGTAAAAATAGTTCAATGATAATACATATTAATAATAATAAAATTAAAATACAAGTTATAATGTAATACGTAGTACTAGTATATACTTAGTATTATAGTGCTTATTACAGGCTTACAACTTACTCGATATAATATACGAAGTACTTTGTATAATAATGATTTTTTTTTTGCAAGATAATTATTATTATTATTATTATTATTATTATTATTATTATTATTATTATTATTATTATTATTATTATTATTATTATTATTATTATTATTATATGATAATAGCAAAAAGTATTGATCATATAGTTTGTCACTCCGTTTGTCTTCAGCATTCTTCCAACTCGGGAGATATACGTCCCACACCGAAACGAGATGAGGCATTCCTCCTTCCAATATAGTATACGGAGTATATAATACTCCGTAATTGATACTCCACAATCTATTCAATGAGCGAAAGAACGCCATCTCCGTAGTTCACTCAATGTGCACAGTATAAATTTTTTATGGGCCATCAAACCTTATGGGCCAGCACGCCTTGGGTAATTTTGAATTAGAAATTTAATTTAAACGGGCCGGGCCGGGTACCCGTAATTCTGAACTGTGGGAACCGGCCCGATCCTATATCAGATATTACCCGCCCCGGCCCGTTTCCTTTTTCAAAAATTTAGAACCGCACATTACCCGCCCGACCCGTTATTACCCGCCCCGAACCGCGGTTCTAGACCTGTTTGCCCACCCCTAGTTACAAGCTACAACAGATCCAATCGTAAGCCCTAGGAATAAACATAGAATCAGTCACTTTATACAAAGCGACCTGACTCGCTAGATACAAAATGAACAATTTTAAGCCTAAAATGATCAGAACTGAAACACCATCTTTCAAAAGTACTTCAAAAATCCAATATCCAAATCAAACCTACTCGAACTAAAATAAACACAAGTACTAGAAGAAATAATGTTGGAATAAAATCTTTCCATGAAACACTTTTGGCATGAAAGTAGTTCCGGAGCAGGATGAGCTATTGCAATATGAGTGAACACTAGATTCTTTTCTGACTTCGTTTTGAAAAGATGTAAAAACTGGAGGAGACAAAATCACCATTTATGTCTCTTGCATTTTCTACACAACCTGAAAGAAAGATGACAAAAACGAGGGAGACAAAATACGCCTGGAGCACCAAGGCCTAAATAAAGAATTGACATAGAACAGAACAAACACAACTACGAAAGAAAAGCAGTCAAGTTGGGTCATACTTCTAGAGCGACATTATCTTCAACCTAGCCGGGGAGAGAATGACTGCAAAGCATCCCTCCTAGTCCCAATCGTGCGCTCATCTTGGTCACACTACCAGCATAGATCTGTGAGATTGGTCGTTGCTAGAGTTTTTAGAGCATTGCACCACTTAATTCTCTCTTTTCCTTTGCACATACATATGGATCATAGAGTTTTTTTATCATAAAAGAGCGGTCGTTATATTAAAATCGACAACACATACAAGACAACCTTCAGACAAAATTTACAGATCCAATCGTGAACCCTAGGAGTAGACTTAGAGTCAGTCGCCTCATACAAAGCGACATGACTCGCTAAATCTGAAACGAACAAACTTAGGCCTAAAACGACCGTAACCGAAACCTTGCCTATCAAAAGAACTCAAAAAATCCAAACACTCAAACCAAATCTACTTGGACTAAAACAGAAACAATTGCTACTAAAGAAAAAATAGTTCTGAAATAAAATCTTTCCACAAAGCTGTTCCTGGTATGAAGGCGGTTCCGGAGGAGGACGAGCTCTTGCAATACGGGTGAATACCAACTCCACCATTGTCGGAATGGTCGACCAAGGCTTCACGATTCAGCCTTGATACAACCTCCCAGCCGCACCTATTCATCCGTCAACGCTATCTCCTCCGACGTAGAACACTTCAAATCAGTATAATCTGCTGCTCCAACCCCATATTGATAGTGGCGGCAGAAAATCTCAACCCCTACAAAGAGGGGAAACGGCCGCTACGGTTCCTCTCTCTAGAGAGAAGAGAGAGTTCGGTTCATATGGATCATAGAGTTAAAATTCGCATTGATTCTTCATTTACCAAAATTAAAAGATAAGTAAATATTACATTCAAATTCAAAAACAGCGCCGAGTTAACTCCAAACAAGAGAAGCACTTACGAAATATAAACCTCCATGCAAAAACCCCTTTTCAAATAAATTTAATTACGAAAAATGAATACTATTTTTGTATAATTTAGAAATCTTAATAAAGTTACTTACATATTCAATCATATTATTAAGACGAGTGATTTCAATTTTAAAATCTCTTTTTGTAGTCGATCTGCGAATCGTGGGGCAATTGCTGGGAAACACATATCTGTCTCAGATCAGAGTAATGTTTTTACAATTCTTCTTGATTTTCTTGTAAGCCGGATGGCAAACGATATGCGTATATAATGAGATGATTGATCTTTCGTTCAAAAAATGACAAGTGATTTCCAAATTGTTAAAGTTATTCTTAGAAAGGGTTTTGCGCGTGAATAATTATAACACAGATGAATTTGATGCACTTTTTAAAATCATAGTGGGTTGATGCACCCAATTTATATAGCGGTATAGGGGAATTCTATTCACAACCACACAATTTCTATCCATAGCCGCCATAATTAATTTAATAAATAAAAATATTTAAACTAGCTAATTTGCCCTTAATTTTGACCCATCACCGTGGACTTGTATTCTCCCTAATCCCCTGACTCATCTTCTTCACTTTCAAAGGGTGCATTTGAAGGTTGGCGCCTTGGCGGAACAGACTGTTACAGACATTTCAATCTCTGGCAGAACTACTTCGAATACCAGACAGCCACATGTTCTGATGTTCAGGCAGCGAGGGATCATTGAATACATGAGGAGACTCTTGGATGATGAGAATCAGTGAGTATGGTTCTTGCGCATCTGTAGCAATTTCCATATAAACCGGAGCATGGATTTCGATCACCTACGCCGTATCTCTTCTACGCCCGCTAGTGACGAAAAGTTCCTTATTTCCTCTTTTGGCATCTCGTGCTCTTTCGCTGGCTCCTCCGCACTTCATGCTCTCGAGTATGCAAGTGATGTTTGCTCAATTTTCCAGCAAAACTCTGGATTCGAGATTCTCCAGTAAAGAAGCAAAGTCAAGTGTGACCCTCAATTCGATCTACTCATCATAGAAGAAGAAATGGCCGTCTGTTGCCAGATCAGATAGCTTTCAGTCAGAACAAGTGGAGGCTCCTTCTTGAACGTATGGGGGTACTATATTAAAAAAGAAAAATTTATTTAATTGTAATTATGTGGCTGTGATTAGTAATTTTGGGAGTGTGAATAGAATTCCTCATTTATATATAATATATCCAAAAGGTTTGTATATCTCATTGTCAAGACCATCGACCAAAGTCCAAAACCCACTTATATGTGGTAAAGAAAACAAAAATATGTGAGCATATTCATTGCGATTAAAAGAAGTCTGTCAGTCTATTGTTTGCATAAAAATAGGAGGGGCTGGTTGTAGCTAATAATAACAGGAAGTGGATTTTAGAACTCAAACACACGCAATTCGAGCATAGCCTCATTTCTCCTGGGAGAATACCATGCCACCACTTTCCCAGAATGCAGTACTCTAAGGGAGTAGTCCAAGCTAAGAACATAATCTTCTAATCTTGGCAAAGGTATCCCAGATGATGAAATACAATACCTCGAGTCAATGCGGAACACAACTGGTCCAATCACCTGCATATTTAAATTTTAAGATGAGAACATAAAAAAAGTGTTTGAAATTATTTTCTTTGAAAAAACTATTCTTGGAAGAATAAGTTTAATGAATGTGTAATACAACGGAGAACGACCAAATTAAACAAATCTTAATTTCGGCACTTTGGGTTCTTTTTGGACCAAAGAGAAAGGGTCTCGACCATCTGATAAAAATTCAAGTACTGTGGGTCAATTTTTTCACATATCTTGAGGGTCCATATGACAATGGCAGATAGTCTCCTTCCAAAAAGAACATTGAAAACATTTTTGGCCATTTAAGCCATTCCTTCAGCGCAAGCAACACAGTTCTTTCAAAAATTAAAATATGGAAAAGGGATGTAAATGGCAACAGAAATAAAAGGAGAAGGGTTAATGAAATTAAGGGTAGTATCTTCCACCTTTGACGAGAGAGGAGCTTCTGTATGTTTTATTGACTTTCTTTTTTTTGGGCAAGATTGTTGGGGATTTGGGGAGGGACTAGGACATAGCTGGAATCATAATTAGGTCTCACAACTAAGGTAGATGATTGAGAATCAAAAAGGGAAAAAAAAAACAATTTTCATTGGACCATTAAAGAGCACTGTTAATGGGTGTTCAAACACCACCACAAAAGTTTATTTTGTGCATTTTGGACCATTAGAAACCGTAATAGCTTATCTAAATTTCATATACTACGTATAACCTTTTGGACCATTAGAAACAGTAATCAGGTCTCACAACTAGGTCAACTTTTCACGTTTGCCAATGCACAGCTTTGACTACTAATATGTGTTATTCTCTTTTAGTAAAAAAATTAATAAAAATTAAGATTTTGAAAATTTAGGATGAAACAAATTTAATAATATATTTTTAAAAATAAATTATTAATACATAATAAACAAAATGTAGTCAAAGTACAACATGTGAATAGTGTAAAATTCCACATGTTGCATTTACTTAAGAACGGAGGTAGTACTAGTAATGTATATCCAACAAAACAAAGAAAAAGTAAAACTTGATCAGAAAAATGACTTCGTTTTCTTGTTTTTTCCCTATAGAAATGCAAAGAATTCAAAAAACTTTTCCTTAACGAAAATGTTTCAGGCCCCCCAAAAGTGATTTACATACAACATACTCCCTCCGTCCCATAAAATTATTCTCACTTACCTTTTTGGGATGTTCCAAAAAATTCTTTCCCGTTTCCCTTTTTGGAAAGTATTGTGTGGCTATCATTCATTTATCTTTTTCTTACTCAACCACAACCATACATTTCCACTTTATTCTCACTTTCTCAAACTCCGATCCAAGTCAAATCGGGAAGAATTTTATGGGACAAAGGGAGTAATTCAGTGATCCATTTAATCAAAGAAATACACCTGGCAACAAATCCCTTTCATGCTTATGGCCAATTGCAATTCGATAAATACATTTGGAGATATTTTTTATTTTGGAAATACATTCACAATTTATTTAAAATTTATATAATGAACTAAAAAGGATGGGCACGTAGTGTTTCACAATGATTCAAATTGTAGTTTTCTTAATTACCTGCTGTTGTAAGATCAAGTTCAGCCTGGGGGAATACAGTCCATCTTTTGCACTGTCACTGGTAGCACCCGTGAAAAGTTTAGAAACCTGTTTGGCCAATGCTGCTGCAGAACGTATGTCTAAACGAGCATCTACTCTGGTGAGATCATTAAATAAATTTCTGAATTTTCCATGCTGGAAAGTATAGCCAGCTGAGGCAAACAAGTCAGCACTGAAACTGCTCCTAGAAGAGCCTAGATAAGTGTTATTTCCACCACCAACCCATGCAGCACAAGTTCCACCTGAAATGAATGGGCAAACATAGTATCCAGGGAGGAAAACCAGGTAAGTAGGTAACTAGGGTATCATACGCTCACAAAAAAAGATAACAACCAAAACCAAACATTGCCTTAACGGTGGACATCGAGGCATGGTTTGGACTCGGAAAATTGTAGGGATAACTGATAAGAGAACAGAATTTCAAGAGAACATCATATTTATGCTGGCCTTAACTTAGAAAATACAAAAGGAGAATCAAATATGATTACAATTTTAATTGAAAGAATGACATAAATATCACCCCTATACTTTTGGAGAACAAGAATATGAGTAGTTTTTGTATCCAAATATGTGACTTACCTTCAAACATTTTAATAATTATAATTTCTTGTCCTTCCAATCCCTACCCAACTGCCCCCCCACCTGCACAGCTCCGCCAGTGCCTACTACAGGATTGTTTTTTCTGATTTTTTAACAAATTGACTGGAAAATTTTGTTGATGGCCACAGTGACATGTTAGACGGTGGTAGTGACAGTGACACAACTAACAACCGGTTTGTGGCATAACATAATAAATTGTATTTTCCCAATTTTATTACCTTGTACTCACATTTATGTCAATATATATTAAATGTAGTCAATTGTTTAGAATTGGGCTTCAATATAGTAATACTTTAGGAGAAACCCTTTTTAATTCTTTTTACATGTATTTACCCAATTTGAGTCTTAGCACTGTAGAAATATCTAACATTGATTTATTGATTTTGAACCAATTTGTTAGCATCCCTTCCATTTCATTTGAGAAAAGTGTTAGATCAGTACATCAAATTGTGAGCGAGGGAGTAAAGAGTACATAATTGCGTAAGCGTGACTCAAAAGTCCCTTAACTCGTAAAAGCAGAGTTAATTTAGTCCACTCAGGCATTAGGAGTTTAAAACTCTGAGTTGGCAAACAGATTAGTGATATGGCATAAAAAACAAGCCACATCATCCGGTTACAACCCTACCTTGTAAGCCAGGTCTGCAGTGCAAGGGTTTCAGGTCTTACAGTCGCGGTTTACCCTTGCTGCCGCCGCCCTCCGTCCGTTGCCCATCAACGCCGCCGCTGCAGCATCGCCTCCTTTTGCATGAGTCAATAGGTTCACTCTATTCAACTCTCTGCCTACTTTGATTTAACGAGGTCTCTCGAATCTTTTTCTTTAACTTAATTTTGGGTTCGGTTGCAGCTTAATCTAGATTGATTTACAATTCTACTAATTCACCAATTTTTATTTTGATTCCACTCTCTCATTCAATTCAGACATGTATCCTTCTCGTGGGACTAACACGTATGGCCAGCAGCAGAGCTACTCATAAGCCGTGTATCTGCAAATGTATGCCGTGTTCGAAGTCTGTTATGCCCTTTGAATCTTAATTTTAATAAAAAAACAAAAGGCTGCATTTATTTATTTACTAGGTAGGGTTGTGGAACTATTAACGTGGAGTAAGGGATGAGGTGGTTTTTTTGCCATATCACTAATCCTTTTGACAACTCAGCGTTTTAGAAGCCCTAATCTATGAGTGGACTAAATTAGCACTGATTTACTCTCCCGCTCGCAATTTCATGTACTCATTTGACACTTTCCTCCATTTCATTTGTTCCAAATTTCCCCTCTATTTGCATTCCTAGTTTCTTTACTTCAGCATTTTCAGAGTTCCAAACAGATAAGCATATGTTTGGTTTTAGCCTGGGAATTGGAAAGTATGAAGAAAAAGCAAATCTGATTAAAACTTTGTAAGACTTTACACATATTTAGATATCTTAGGTAATTTTTAATATATATAGTTTGAACCAGTTCAATTTTTCCCCAAATTTTATTTCCTTCCAAATTTCTCCTGTGTTTTGCTTTATATTTTCTTTGCACAAATATCAAAACAATATTGCCAGATATTTTCTCTTGTGAATTGAAAACTTACCAATGATTCCAGATATTGTTGCATGGGGCTCCTTAAGATGAAAATCATAAGCAGGCCTGAAATACAACTGCTCATTTCTCATTATGAAGCGATCTTTCTGTTCTTCTTTTTCCCTCCAAATTTCTTTTTGCTTCTCATAAGAAAAAGCAGCTTTTGCACATACTCCTGGCATCAGAGCAGGATGGGGTGCATCATTAGTGTTATCAACTGCAATGGGTTGGCCGCTGTTTTTATGTATACCAAACCGATATCGCAATCCGGATGATGAAACGTGTGATGAGCAGTCAAGAGATATAGACTCTGGAACATCCCAGTATCTTCCTTTGTGATCTATGAATCGCTCAGGCCAAGCAGTTTCCAATGTAATGTCATGGTCTGAAAGCTGCATGGGAAAAATGAACTTGCATTCAACATCATTGAATGGAGGAGTAAGAACTAGATGTGAGTATTAAGTATAAGAAATTTTAATCATGATGTGATGAAATGAGCTGCACTCATTAAACAAATGGTTTCCATTACTAGTTTTGCTTCATGGATTCTGTAAATTCCAATAGCTCAGATAAAAACTGACTTACTGACCACTTCCCCCTAAAACAAAGAAATTGGTAAATAATACAAAGAAAACCATTAATATAAAAATATGCTCTGTTATAGACTATCTCTCATTAATTTAGTTTCTAGATAATAATTTATTAACATTTTTTATTTAACATTTTAGATGTGCACAAGTATTGTTGTATTATTGTGTTCAGTATTAATCTTTAACTTTTCGATGATAAGCCTTTAGTTAAGATTATAACTTCGTAATGGTTAATAGATACTGTCTCTGTCCCAAAATATATTCAATTATTTCCTTTCTCATCCATCCCAATATAAACTCCTTTTTCCTTTTATGGAAAATAATTTACACTTTCTTAATCCCTGTGCCTAGTAAAAAAAGGAGTTAATTATGGGACGGAGGGAGTATGTTATAAGCTAAAAATTATAAATTTTAAAATATTGTAGAAATCATGTTTAGCATTGCAGATAATATAATACCCAAAAATGGAAACGAAGACAAAAAAAATTATTTGGTTAATCATATATGCATATCGCTCACATGCCATGTGTGCATTGTGCACATTGCATCAATGGAGATGCTCTTTAGGAGATCAGTAATTTAGCTCCCCACCCCCCATAGGTCTTTTGTGCTTGCTTACTCAAGAGAGTTTTGGTGTTTCCTTTAGAAGGGTTGTGAGGCAATGATGTCGTTTAGAAGCAAGACAAAAACAAATTTGCTTATATGTCCTTATACTCTTATTATTTGCTTGTTTCATAATTCCTAAGCACTTCAATCCCTGTCTGTAAAAAAGAGCCCCATTTCCAGATTCCAATGTTCAAAAGGCATTTTTATTAGCATGGAGAGGCATAGGCCTCAAGGCACTTTGAGGCATAAGCCTCAAGCTTTTTACTGAACTCCGTTTAAAATTACAAAATACTAGTAATCTAAAGTATAAATACATGGCATAAACCACTATCATAAGTTTAACTCTTTAAATGAATGTTTTTAAGATTTATTACACTTAGTAGTTATTACAAACATAAAAATTTGTTAACATGAGAAAAAAGGAGAAGAAATGGCTGGATCCTACACACTTTGATATTCTGGATCAAGTTTCATAAAAAGAAAAAAAAATAAAGAAGTTATGCTACTCTGTTGTAATTGTTCAATGGAAAGGAAAAGAAAAAACATCAAGAGTTGTTTGAATCAGTTGAACCTAGCTGGAAAGAAGAGAGCAAGAGAATATTTGGCAAATAGAGTATCACTTTTGGAGAGAGCGAAGTGGAGGGATAAAATATGTGTGGCCGATTGATCTCATTTCAGCTTTTTAGCTCCAACTCCATATAATGATTCATGTTAGCTGACTACAAAATCTTTTGAGACTGAGGCTTAGATGTTGTGAGGTGTTGTTGACTGAAAATCATAATATTATGTTACAATTATACGACGTTAAAAATTATAGCATACTATCTTGCCTTATGCATGAACATTGCCTTCAAGCGTTGCCCCTCCCTCTCACCCGGCTTCTCCATGTTTAATAATACGGAAGACGAATCCGTCAGAGAAAGGTGTGAGCATGCACCAAGCCAATAAAATGATTTGTCAATAAAACACTTAGGCAGACCTTTGAATGTTGACAGTTCCAAATCCACCCACTCGATTTTCGGACCTATTTCTTCTCTGATGGCATTTATTTCTTCTTTGAGTTTAGATATCAGCTTCTTTGGACGAACTTGTCCCACTAATCCAACCCACCTAGAGAGAAACAAGTGTTAACTACTCCATCATGGGTTACTTGGCATCTAATGAGCTAAAACTGGTTGTTTAAAGAGCACGAAACAATAATATGTGGCATATCTCAAACAGAGAAGACATTATTATATGTGGCATATCTCAAACAGAAAGGATTACTATGCTGCCCTAATGGCCCACTTCGGTGTCACTGCTATTTTTTAGTTTTTTAGTTAATGATGTTAAACAGGTATATGTATAGATCGTTTGATAAACCAAAAAGTAGTCATACATATTACATATACTAATCATGTGAACCATTTAGAAAAATAGCATAAAACTAAAAAATTTACTTATTTTGATTTTCATTACCCTGTTTTTAGTTCACATAAAACAAGAAACAGTGCAGAAAGAGTCCTAAGATTTCAATTAGTCCATTAATTAACAACACATAAGCCAAGTCCATTAGTCCATAACAGGCAATTTTCGAGATACGAATAATAACTAAAAACATATAATATAAGACTCCAACATTTCAGCTGGGTGTTATGAAAAGAGTACCAATTTGAAATGGCAGCTCTGAGAAAGAGAGACTGGAGAGCAAAAGAGCCCAATTCTTTCCTAGACGGAGGAGAGAAAGAAGGGACGAGACCTAGAGGGAACCCATTTCCTATAAGAGAGAGCTGTTGTACTCGGAGAGCTTGATTGGTTCTACCACCGTTCATTGGCATGGGCTCGCCCGGAATGGACCTGGCTGTACCATCTAGGGTTCGAGCAGTAGAGACGTTGAGATCCCAAAATGCCGAGTCAATCGCTGTCCGGAGTTTCGCCATTTCGCGACGAGCCGGGCAGCGTGGGAACGAGCTCGTGGCGAAATGAAGTGATTGTTCCTTACCTGTGTAGACAGTTCAAGACAGAAGCTCAGTTAAGAGGGTTTTGGGAGTGGCGAGGTTTATGTTTCTTTTCCGTGTTAGTAAAACTAGTGGGTGGCGTGACCGGAATTGACCATCTTCACCTTCTCAAGGTTAATGTAGCCCGGGATTCACGATTGGATACAGTAATCTTAGTGTACAGTAATGTACCATAATTGACCATCTTCACCTTCTCAAGGTTAATGTACCATCTTCATCTTCACCTTCTCATATACTAGATTCTCACCCGTGCGATGCACGGGTCAAAATTTAATACAGTAATGTAATTCTATTTATTTATTTACATTAACAGTAATTACCTAATGACACCAAAGAATCATAAAATTATAATGTATAAATGAGTGAAAAAAATAGAGATACATAAAAAATAGTTCTATAAGAAATGGTTAAAAGAGCAAAAATGATTCGATCAATATATGTTGAAATGATAAATTTGCCTACATTTCACGTATATTACCTCTGCCGCACTAACATTGAGACATGAAGAAATAGTATGACTGAACATTGATAGATATTGGATTATTAAAGTAAAAATAAAGTAAAAATGATTTAGAAACACATAAAATTTTCCAAATTTAATATGAGACAATCTTAGTGGAACGCACTGAAAAAAATGATGAGGCAAATTTAGTGGGACGGATGCAATATAACAATATGAGCATCGAGTACGCCACATTTTTTGAATTTCACTGTGTATATATTTTTATATTATAACTATAGAAAATGAATAATCAATACTATACGTAATTAAATACATAAAATATGTAAATATACTTTGTATAAATTATAAACAACGAAATGTGCTATTCTAACTTTGTTTATCACTGTCAATTTTCGTAATATGAATGATGTTTTTAATTGTATTGAATTTTATGGTGTAATTTAGTCTAATTTGATCTATCGATGATATCTATTGATGATCTATTGTGCTAAAATTGTCTAGTCCAATCTTATTTGATCTAATTTAGGCTTGTTTAATCTGATATATGTAACTGTAATCAAACCAATTGAGGACATCTTAATAATACCCATTTGAACAAATTTAGAAAGAAAAGCATACTAATTTTTATTTTTTAACAATATTACTAATTTGTATCCTTTTTTAACAATATCTGATCTTTTCCCCTCATTTTTATTCATTTTTTTATTTTTTATTTTATTTTTTATTTTTTATCCTTATATATAAACATTATATTTATCCTTTTTATTTTATCATTTCTAGGTACATTCATTTCTTTTTATATTATCTTTTTTATAACAGCTTATCTTTTTTATCATTATTTTTAATAGCTTATCACCACAATTCTTTTTTGTGGTGATATCATGTATCGATTCATGTTAGCCGACTCCAATATTTTTTGAGACTGACTTGGTGATATCAATATGAAACAAACAATTTCGCAAAAAGAATCATGAAATAGAAATTGGTACAAATAAATAATTGTGATTCCAGATTTCTACACCTCTCCAGAATTCTCTTTTTCATTACATCCCTGTCGGCCGTAAAAACTCATCCTCCATCCGAGTCCTTTCCATCCCACCATATGCACCCACTCTCTTAACACATCAATCGTAGACGTTTCCCACTTTTAATTTCTTCATCCCATCTCGTCTAGATCTAATAAATCCGATTCAATTTTGATTTCAAATATTTGAAGTTACTTCTGTTTATACCGATCCTAATCAATTTTATACGTTTATTACCCCCTTTCCCCAATTCAAATGAGCATATATGGTTTATTAGTATCTACAAAATGTATAAATTGGTGCAAATTTCAAGGTAAGACGATTTTCCTTTTGAATTCTTAAATCAAATATCCAACCCTTATATGTGTTCATATTCTCTAAGCCGTAGGCTCTATATGGATATTACTATTTAGATAAATTGAAAGATTTACACTTCAGATCTTAATTTCAATTATAGTGAAGATTTATCTCAAACTCCATACTTATTTGGTAATATGTCCACTTTCTAAGAAATCAAAGAACTGAAGTTATAGAATACGTTGTATATATTAACAATATGTATGACATTAAGTCACATGCAAAGATATGGTCCAAGTTTCATTTCAGAAATAAGAATTGAATTGCAATCAGAAATGTTGAAAATAGAGAACTTGCTTTTGATTGCAATTTGAAACCCATTTGGGTGAGGAATGAAACATTTAGCTGAAAGTGGTTCATTTCTACTTTCTTTAATGCGTTGACTATTCCAGAAGTCATCAAACCTGGGTTTGGGGCGAGTCTCGTTTCTTATCTCCGTTTGAAAATTAGAGTTGTATCTCGCTCACCGGAGTTGATGAAACATCGGTCTGACGATCTCGCTGCAGCTAGGGTCTGGTCACAATCCTCCGTGCACCAAAACTGAAATTTCCGTTTGCTAAACCGCCTTCATCGACCTTTAAGCTCAGTACACAGTTAGTTGTTCTCATTCTTCTGATGACGCTGCATGTCTAGGTTTGGATCTGCGCATCCATTGCATACCTTTCATGTTGACAGATCACATTTGGGCAGTTGCAGGTCTCCTTCTAGTTAGGCAGTAGTGATGAAGCGATCGAAGCTGATGTCTCGTTTTCAGCGGCAGAGCCAAAGCCTAGAGACAGTCCTCCACTCATCTCGCCGCCTTCCTACTCTTCCTTGGTCGCCACCGTCTTGTCGGGTCAAAGGTTGACCGGGGGTATGTGGCCCTTCATTTATGCGGCCGCAGATGCTACACTTCTACCAGTTGATCGCCCGATGTTTTGCCTCATTCACGCCAAATCGCCGCCTAGAATTTGGAAGGGCAGCTGAAGTTCTTCTCCGTTGTCATGTCCTGTGGGCTGGATTGTGGAAGAAATCGGACATATCTGGCATCTTCGGCTGCCATGTAAATACCAGAAATTTTATAGAGCACGTTATGTGCTCCTTAGAGAGCACGTGAGCCCGCTTTAGAAGTTAGAACCCTTGTATAAAAGCCCATACGGTTGCCTCAAGAGTAAACATTATGAGGTTTTATTTTTGAATTATTACCCTAAATAAGACTAAATTAATGTGTAAATTCCCAAATAGGAGTAGATATATTTTTATTCCTAAATAGGAGTATTATTCCACTTTTACCCTTCTAGTCGCATCAGCTTCCGCACATGAGCGGGCCTTTCTTTTCCACGCATCACTACTTCTCTTCTTGGCAGGTCAATTCTTCTTCTATGTTTTTTGAATTAATATCTGCGCATCCAACTATCTTCCTCAATCTCCTCATAATTCACGTTGCAAGATGTTGAGCTCCCTTCTCCTGTCATCTTCTCCGTCCATCTTCTTCGGTTGAAAACCTGCAACAACGTGATTTTGGAAGCGGCGAGCAATTGCATTACTGCAGCGACACCATCGGCTAGCAACGAGCAACAGAGGCGAGAAGAGAGGGAGTGAGTAGCAAATTTGATCCAGATCTATTTCCAGAGTAATGGAGCTCGTTATTCTTCCCCTCCTTCCTCCTCTACTTTTTTTCTCTCTTCTTGTCTTCTGCTGTTGTCACAGGTCCAATGCTTGGCCGATTTCTTCTTTAGTTGTTGAAATTGCCAAACTTTCTCTGAAAATGCCATCAAAATGGAATTTTTACTCTTTGAAAAAAATTGTGTTACTCTTTGAAATTGCCATTAATATGACATTCTAGATTTATGTTGGCATTATGAGAAAAATGTTGGCAACAACGGCGACGACGGCCAGAGATGAAGCAGTGGAGGCCGGATTTGCAGCGGCGGCGGCCGCCGGCCGGATTTGAAGGGGCAGTAGTCGGCGGCTGGAGACGGCGAGATCTACGGCTCCGGCTACCAGATCTGGAGCAACGGTTGCCAGATCTACAGCAATGGCTGCCAGATCTGCAACGACGGCCATTTTTTAGGCTGCAGCGGTGGTCGGCGAGCGGTGGTTGCCGGCGAGCGGTGGTTGACGGCGAGCGGTGGTTGACGGCGAGCGGTAATGGTCCAGCATTGTGTGAGTAGCAGCATGTTATCAAGCTTTCAAGGGTATCTCGGTCCAAATACAAATAATAACTCCTATTTAGGGAATTTTCAAACTTTAATCCTATTTTAACAATTAAGGATATATTTACTCCCATTTGGGGAATTCTCCCATTATTTTTATAATAAGAAGAGCACTCACATTATATTCATGTTAAACCGTTCTTCTTCTCCTACAAGTTCTTATATGGAATATTTTATATGGAATATTTAGGATGTTTTTATTTAATCTATCCCAGACCAAAACAGATAAGACCAGATCAGATCAGACCAGATTTGGGTAGTTATAAAAATACAAAGAAACCAGACCAGTTCAGACCTGACTAGACTATGTTATATCAGACTAGGCCAGACTGGCAAATTACAGTCCAAGTAAAAACATCCTTAATTCGGGAGATTTATCTTAATAGATTAAAACATAACTTTTATACAAAATAGGACCAACTAGTTTAAATTAAATACTTTAAAAATGATTTTTCATTTGTAATTGACCAACATACCCTTATCGGAATTTTTTCCAAAAATTACATGGTGATCCATGGTCCGCTAGAAATTCGTTCTCCACCGTTGTTGTTGCCGTCGTCAGAGCCCTACGCCGCCGACAGAATTTGTCACCACCGCTTCCGGAGTTTGCTGCTACCACCAAGGCACCAATAGACTGATTTGGGTATACAGCGAAAATAGGGGCCATTAATTAGGGGTAGAAATGGATCGATTAGTCTTATTTAGCTAAAATCAAACATATGGTCTTATTTTTTGAAAAAAAACTTGTATATTTTAATCTTAGTTTGGACACTTTTTCATTTAATTATGCATTTTTTTAATATACAATGGGAGAAGTCCACAATAGGACTAAAATATAGTTTTCTTTCCCAAAATATGATCTACTAGTTTAAAATACCTTAAATACGACTTTTTATTTGTGGTTAGACCAAAATACCCTCTTAGGGCTTTAACATTGTTGTCCCCATGCCGCCGGACGGCCACTTGTTATCGGAAAAAATTCTTGCATGCAAATGTTTTAACTTGGACTCTTTTCAGTCCCAGAACGCATCAGATCAAACCAGACTTGGATATTTACAAAATACACAGAGACAAAACATTACCAGACCAGTTTAGATCAAACTAGAACAAATCAGACCAGACCACACCAAAAAATCTAGTCAAGTAAGAACATTCTGAGTTTCCAGAAATTCGTTCCCACCGTCGGCTTCCACCACCACGGATTGATCCCTTCACCAACGGATTGCCTTGGTTATGCAAGGGAACCGCGGGGATTAATTAAGTTAATTAATTAGTTAACTAAATCAGGGTAGAAATAAAATGATTAATCCTATTTAATTTAGATAAAATCAAACACATAATCCTATTTTTGAAAGAAGGCCATTTTTATTCTTAATTTAGGCAATTTTCTCTTAAACAATCTACGGTATAGAGGAAATATAATTCGGAAATATTTTATTCAACTATTTGGGTCTAAAATTAAAGATTAACCTGATTGAATATAATCTTACAAAAAAAATCTTTTGTCGACACTTCTAGTATGTAGTAAATTTTACAAGTGACTAAATAACAACTACAACAAATACATGCACTACATTAAAATTATAAGGATCGTAGAAGATAAAAAAGTTGGGCCTCAAAGCTCACTTAATTATAAACGCATCTACTCGTCTAGTGCCAGATTTGATTACGTGCTCGTTACCGAGCACGTTACGTGCATTTTAAAATTTTCGATGTAAATACTCCGTATATATTAACTACACTGACTATGTTTTGACCAAGAGTCAATAAAAGTGTTCAATTGTAGACCTGTACAAAAACGGGCTCGGGCCGGACTTTTTATAAATTTTCTGCCCATCATGTGTGGGCGGGCCCGGCCCGGCCCGCAAAAACGGGCCTAACCTCATGTCCATACCCACCCGTTAAAAAACTTTAATTTTTTAAAAATTATATAATTTTTTTAATACTTTATAAATAGTATTACAACATTTAAAAAATTGCTAATACACTTATAATGTTTTTAAGCCTGTCACCACGTACACAAAAAATATAATGAGAAACTATATCTTAAATTTAAAATTGAAGCACAAAGTATTATCTTTAAGTACTAAAATATACTACATACTACGTATATTATATTGGTTGGACTAGTTGTTAAAAACTAAAAACTTAAATTTGAACATAATTAACTATAAATATGTATAAAGATACTTGCACAAAAAATATAATGAGAAAATATAGCTAAAATTTAAAAATTCAAGCACAAAGTATCATCTTTAAGTACAAAAGTAGATATTATCTTGGCTGGGCTAGTTGTTAAGAACTAAAAACTTAAGAAAATGAGTTGGTCCAGTGGTGTTGATCATATGTTGACTATGTTAAATTTAAATATAATTAATTATAAATATGTACAAAGATAAATTAATAAATATAAATATACATGTGTACATGTAAATAAATAAATAAATTAGTATATATATTAAAAAATGTATATATACTAAATGTAGCGGGCCGGACTTATCGGCCCGAATGGGCCTACACCCTAACCCAAGCCCGCCCATATGTTATTGCGGGCCGGGCCGGGCCGGGCCCGGTGGGTAAATATATATGCCCAAGCCCGCCTATTTGTGTGGGCGGGCTGGGCGGGCCGGCCCGGTTTTGTACAGGTCTATCAATTGGAATGAACAACACTGTGACAGTCTGACAGCCATCGCAATACATTAAATAATCTTTGAGCAGACCTTGCTTTTGTTAACTTCCGACGCACACTAAATCTTTTACCTTAAAAATCTTTTAATTACCAAGCCCTTGACACTGACGTTTTTGGGCGGGAGATTCACCAACTTTTCCACTTCGTTTTATATATATAGAGATATTGAGATTTATATCTATGTTGTAAAAACATGACCGGGAGGAGACCCGGCCGAACAATTGGGTCACGGGTCAGCCCGGACCCGGCGGGTCAACCCGGTCATCAAAGAAATACAATTATTATTTTAAAAATATACATTTTTTAACAAAATATAAAATGTATATTAAATTAGATGGATATTATACGGAGTATATGAATACAATGCTTTATTTTAAAAGAAAATACAATACTTATTAAAAATTAAAATATTATATAAACACTTTCACTCATAATATTAGTAACCGCATATACTGTACTCCGTATTACTATATCTAAAGGATGTTATGCTTTTATTAGGATTATTATTAAAAAGTGAATTAGTGAATCTATTCAAGTATCAGATATCAAATGTATAATATATACTCTCAAAGATCAAATTGTGCAAACGTTCCACAGCAGCTCCTTGGGTTGAGGCTTAACCTCACGGCACTTACACTCAGTTTCGAATCCCCCTAGCTGCTTAGTTTTGAATTTATTCCTGTTTATTAGAAATCTCCGGGTTTGGGCCGTCATGGGTTACGGTCCGAGTCCGGCGGGTCAGTGGGTTTTTCTCCGGGTTCGGCCACATTTGCGGGTTGAGCTTCTACCGGGCCGGATTGGGCTCCGGGTGACCGGTTTCCGGGTCGACTCTGCCGGTCCGTTTCGGTTCTTACAACACAGATTTAACACAGATTTATCTGACCGGAGCTTTGGTTAAAGTGACTATATCGGTTATTATGTTCATTTATGAAAAAATTATATGAAAAATAATTAAAATTGTCACAATAAGTAACTTCAACCTTACATTTTCTTATTATTACACAATTCAGCGCGCAAAATCTAAAGTTACGTGTTTGGTTAAAAAGGCAGCTGATAAGTCTGATAAGCAAAAAATAGAGTCGCCAAACGGGCTCTCTATGTTTCTACTATGTATTCTTTCTGTCCAAATTTTAGGATACCTTGTTTATGTTTATTTACTTTATGAATAGTTGAAGTGCCCGTGCGATGCAAAAGTGTATCTAGAGTAAAGAACGACTTGTTTAAATATTTTATTTATTATGATGATGCCTAATATGTG